GACGGTCCCTGTGTAGAAAATACGTAACTTTTCCATCCATACCCATGGTTTATTCCTATCTTCTTCTACTATTTGAGGTTCTAAAGTGTATCTCACGACCTGTAGTGCTTCATCAGGCATTGCCGACCTTAGCGACGATATTTCCAATTTTGGCTTCTTGTAGTAGTCTATTTGTTCAGTATTTGGGTTTTTATCTAGATTTCTGTAATCCGCCTGAATACAATAGTCATTGAACCTAACTTCAAAGTTCTTGAAGTTTTCAGCCACATTCCCCGAAAGCTTGAGCTCAGGTCGCTTCGGAAGTCCCGCCATTGCATGTGCTCGTAGTTGATTCGAGTTAGATCCGCTTCTATAGATTGCGTGATCCCACTTCTGACACCAAGTTTCCAACCTCGTTGGACCAATGATAAAGACACAGTTCAGTTGTCTTGATTTGCAGAGGCTTTATTACGCCTGACGATACACCGGGACTCAATCACAACACATGCGGGCTGCCATCTTTTAGGGATACCCGACCATGCTACTTCCGGCCTGACATTCGCAATACTTCGTATTTCCAACAATCGGAATAACTTGGAAATGAACATACTAACAGTACCATGACAGCTGGATGTAGAGAGGCTTTTCCTGGTGGCAATAGTGTTAGTCAGTAAGGTACCATGACAGCTGGCTGTGCTGTGGAGGAGCTTATCCTGGTGGCAGTAGTGTTAGTCAGTGAGGTACCATGACAGCTGGCTGTGGAGGACCTTGTTCTGTGGCAGTAGTGTTAGTCTGTGAGGTACCCACAACAGCTGCCTTGGAGGAGCTTGTCCTTTGGGCGGTAGTGTCAGTCACTGAGGTACCTCTGACAGCTGTTTGTGGAGGAGCTGGTCCTGGTGGCAGTAGTGTTTGTCAGGGAGGTACCTGTGACAGCTTGCTATGGAGGACCTTGTACTTTGGGTGGTAGTGTCAGTCACTGAGGTACCCACGACTGCTGGCTGTGGAGGACCTTGTCCTGTGGTAGTAGTGTTAGTCTGTGAGGTACCCACAACAGCTGGCCTTGGAGGAGCTTGTCCTTTGGTCGGTAGTGTCAGTCACTGAGGTACCTCTGACAGCTGTTTGTGGAGGAGCTGGTCCTGGTGGCAGTAGTGTTTGTCAGGGAGGTACCTGTGACAGCTTGCTATGGAGGACCTTGTACTTTGGGTGGTAGTGTCAGTCACTGAGGCACCTCTGACTGCTGGCTGTGGAGGAGCTGGTCCTGGTGGCAGTAGTGTTAGTCAGTGAGGTACCCACGACTGCTGGCTATGGAGGAGCTGGTCCTGGTGGCAGTAGTGTTTGTCACTGAGGTACCTGTGACAGCTGGCTGTACTGTGGAGGAGCTGGTCCTGTGGCAGTAGATTAAGTCAGGGAGGTACCCGTGACAGCTGGCTGTACTGTGGAGGAGATTGTCCTGGTGGCAGTAGTGTTAGTGAGGTACCTGTGACAGCTGGCCTTGGAGGAGCTTGTACTTTGGGCGATAGTGTCAGTCACTGAGGTACCTCTGACAGCTGTTTGTGGACGAGCTTGTCCTGGTGGCAGTAGTGTTAGTGAGGTACCTGTGACAGCTGGCCTTGGAGGAGCTTGTACTTTGGGCGGTAGTGTCAGTCACTGAGGTACCTGTGACAGCTGTTTGTGGAGGAGCTGGTCCTGGTGGCAGTAGTGTTAGTGAGGTACCTGTGACAGCTGGCCTTGGAGGAGCTTGTACTTTGGGCGGTAGTGTCAGTCACTGAGGTACCTGTGACAGCTGTTTGTGGAGGAGCTGGTCCTGGTGGCAGTAGTGTTTGTCAGGGAGGTACCCGTGACAGCTGGCTGTGCTGTGGAGGAGCTTGTCCAGGGAAAGTAGTGTTAGTCAGGGAGGTACCCATGACAGCTGGCTGTGGAAGAGCTTGTCCTGGTGCAGTATTGTTTGTCAGTGAGGTACCAATGACAGCTGGCTCTGCTGTGGAGGAGCTTTTCCTGGTGGCAGTAGTGTTAGTCAGTGAGGTACCACGACAGCTGGCTGTGGAGGACCTTGTCCTGTGGCAGTAGTGTTAGTCTGTGAGGTACCCACAACAGCTGGCCTTGGAGGAGCTTGTCCTTTGGGCGGTAGTGTCAGTCACTGAGGTACCTGAGACAGCCTTTGGTGGAGGAGCTGGTCCTGGTGGCAGTAGTGTTTGTCAGGGAGGTACCCGTGACAGCTGGCTGTGCAGTGGAAGAGCTTGTCTTTGGGGCAGTAGTGTTAGTAAGTGAGGTACCACGACAGCTGGCTGTGCAGTGGAAGAGCTTGTCCTTGGGGCAGTAGTGTTAGTCAGTGAGGTACCACAACAGCTGGTTGTGTAGTGGAAGAGCTTGTCTTTGGGGCAGTAGTGTTAGTCAGTGAGGTACCACGACAGCTGGCTGTGCAGTGGAAGAGTTTGTCCTTGGGGCAGTAGTGTTTGTCAGGGAGGTACCCGTGACAGCTGGCTGTGCTGTGGAGGAGCTTGTCCAGGGAAAGTAGTGTTAGTCAGGGAGGTACCCATGACAGCTGGCTGTGGAAGAGCTTGTCCTTGGGGCAGTAGTGTTAGTAAGTGAGGTACCATGACAGCTGGCTGTGCAGTGGAAGAGCTTGTCCTTGGGGCAGTAGTGTTAGTCAGTGAGGTACCATGACAGCTGGCTGTTCGGTCGAGGAGCTTGTCCTGGTGGCAGTAGTGTTAAGTCACTGAGGTACCCGTGACAGCTGGCTGTGGAAGAGCCTTTCTCGGGGGCAGTAGTGTTAGTGAGGTATGACGACAGCTGGATGTAGAGCTTTTCCTGGTAGCAGTAGTGTTCGTCAGTGGGGTACCCGTGACAGCTGGCTGTGGAGGACCTTGCCCTGTGACAGTAGTGTTAAGCCCCTATCTCACATTCACGAATGAACACGATGTAATGTTTTTCCTTAAATCGTGTTAGAACGTATGAAGGTCGCTCACTTATTCCTCTTCATTCGTGGTCGGTCGCGCGCGGTTGTATGGACGTCGCAGCTCGGCTTAAATCGTGTTATAAAGTTTTGCAATTCAAAAATATATGACATGATTTGAGCCGAGCTGAAAAGTCGTGTTCAGTCAAATGAAGGTCGTATGACAGTCGTGTTCAATCGTGTTGGGGAGCGTGTGAAGAAACTCATACGACCTTCATACGTTTTAACACGATTCAACATAACTTTCATACACCTTTCATACGACTCCCATACGCCTGAACACGAAATCCATACGTTTGTCATACGACCGTAACGTGACAGAGTGAGAACGTGGGAAACCCCCTGAAAGTGAAAGCTCATTCTTCAGCCATGCCAAACCCCAGGCGGCCGAAAAAGAAGCTCCTCCAAGCAAAACCTTCGAAAAAGGGAAACATCCTTCACCACCATCCATGGGTGAACATCCACCCGGTACCCAGGGACAAGATATGAGCCAGCTGAAACCTCTGAACCACCACCAAAATCTGCTTCTTGCGGGTCTTGTTTGTTGTTGAACATGGTGAAGACTGACACAGAAATGCTGTTGCAATGCAGCTTAAATACTACAGGACCCACATGACCAAAATAAACAAAAATATGTCGTATGAAGGTCTTGCTCAGTCGTATGGAGATCATGTATATTTTTGTAGTCGTATGGACATCGTAATGATTCGGGTTTAATCGAATGGTGGTCGTGTTGTTTCATGTTAAGTCGTATGGGCGTCGTTTGACAGTCCTATTGGGGTCGTGTTAAATGAGGTTAAATCGTGTTGTATCGTATGAATATCTTATGACGGTCGTATGAGTGTTGTGTTCAGTCTTATAAAGGTCGTATGAGGGTCATTTTTGGTCGTATGAGGGTCGTTTTTGGTCGTATGATGGTTGTGTTTGGTTAAGAAATTTGCATAAACCACAAGGTCAAGCACGAATCAACACAATTTGTCAACTTTTCTTAAATCGTGTTCGCAATTTCTTAAATCGTGTATGTGAGATAGGGGCTTTAGTCAGTGAGGTACCACGACAGCTGGCTGTACTGTGGAGGTGCCTGTCCTGGTGCAGTAGTGTTAGTCAGTGAGGTACCACGACAGCTGGCTGTGGAGGAGCTTTCCTCGGGGCAGTAGTGTTACGCAGTGAGGTACCCCGACAGCTGGCTGTGGAGGAGCTTTCCTCGGGGCAGTAGTGTTAGTCAGTGAGGTACCCACAACAGCTTGCCTTGGAGGAGCTTTCCTTCGGGGCAGTAGTGTTAGTCAGTGAGGTACCGCGACAGCTGGCTGTGGAGGAGCTTTCCTCGGGGCAGTAGTGTTACGCAGTGAGGTACCACGACAGCTGGCTGTGGAGGAGCTTTCCTTCGGGGCAGTAGTGTTAGTCAGTGAGGTACCGCGACAGCTGGCTGTGGAGGAGCTTTCCTCGGGGCAGTAGTGTTAGTCAGTGAGGTACCACGACAGCTGGCTGTTGAGGAGCTTTCCATGGGGCAGTAGTGTTAGTTAGTGAGGTACCGCGACAGCTGGCTGTGGAGGAGCTTTCCTCGGGGCAGTAGTGTTAGTTAGTGAGGTACCGCGACAGCTGGCTGTGGAGGAGCTTTCCTCGGGGCAGTAGTGTTAGTTAGTGAGGTACCGCGACAGCTGGCTGTGGAGGAGCTTTCCTCGGGGCAGTAGTGTTAGTCAGTGAGGTACCACGACAGCTGGCTGTGGAGGAGCTTTCCTTCGGGGCAGTAGTGTTAGTCAGTGAGGTACCGCGACAGCTGGCTGTGGAGGAGCTTTCCTCGGGGCAGTAGTGTTAGTTAGTGAGGTACCGCGACAGCTGGCTGTGGAGGAGCTTTCCTTCGGGGCAGTAGTGTTAGTTAGTGAGGTACCGCGACAGCTGGCTGTGGAGGAGCTTTCCTCGGGGCAGTAGTGTTAGGCAGTGTGGATCCCATGTCGGCTGGCTGTGAAGGAGCTTGTCTTTGGGGTCTTAAGTACCCTGTGGTATGTGTTTGTGATTCCCTGTGGTACTTGGCTGATAGATGTTTAGTAAATAATCTTTTTGTTAATAGATGCGTCCTGACATCAAGAAGGATGTGTTCCACCTGAATTGGGCCCCAGAGTCACTCCCTGCAGACGATGTGAGTGGAATCTGTGCCAACATATGTCTGTTTACATGTCTGCCTCCACACATGTCTGTGTCGACATATCTCTGTGTCTACATATCTCTGTGTCTAAATATCAGTGCCTATATGTGTCTGTCTGTGTCTACATGTGTCTGACTGTCTCTTGTGTCTTCATGTGTCTTTTTCTGGTATTTCCAGGCGGTTGGTGACCTCCTGGAGTACCTGGACAGCAATCTGCTCACTCTCAACAACAACCTGCTCAAGACCAACTTTGACCGAATTTTAGAGTCAATATGGGTGGAAGTGTTGGAGGAGTTCAAGGATGTGCTGGACAATGAGGAGGTGGTACGTACTTGTGGGTTGGTGGTACGTACTTGTGGGTTGGTGGTACGTACTTGTGGGTTGGTGGTACATTATGATGTGCAGACACATATTGATTTTTGGAACCAAACACTCAAAGACAAGTAACAACATGCAGAATGTTTACATGCCATTGGCATGTTGCAGGCTGTTCATTCCTGACCTTTGCCCCATTGATACACATTTGGAACGTCATTGGCAAATGTCAATGTCAGCGTCAAAATCCACCTACCACTGGCAATGAACTTGGTGTTGCTCTCACTGATGAGTGAAACAACATAAGTCAAGGTGACATTGGTTAACTCATCAGAAGCATGAAGCTGTGCATGTCTGGCCAACAGAGGTGGGTTTTACCCGATATCAGTAACATTGACTAGAACTCTTTAGGTCAGACCGCCTACTCCCCGACAATTAGATCATTGCAGTTCCAGTTGCCAATACCATATGGATCAGAACATATGCCTTGATGATTCCCACTATCGTCTGTTTGTTTTGCATGGTGTATGTGCAATCTACAGAAAGGTGTTAACTCCCTTCCAGAGACCTCCCATCTTCTACCAGCGCATGTTTGACGCCCTTGGTCTTCTGGTCGATTTCTTCCATGCTAAAGGGAAAGGGCTGAACATGGAGGATATCCTTTCCCAACAGTTCCAGGTGAGTTCATCAGTTGTCCACAGTTTTGTGTGAATTCGTCAAATATCCACAGTTCATAGAGTTTATAGAGTCAATTTTTTTACAGTAGATGACATATTCTATTTATGTTTTTAGGAGTTGCGAGAGCTGCTGACCTTCCACAAGATGGACACCACGTCTCTGATTGAGACCTTCTACATCCAGATGGCCGAGATCCAGGTGAGTTTCCCAGCAGATGGTGTTTGATGAGTCTTTTTGTGTCCTAAGGGTGCTGTCCTCATACATCACAACAGAAATGATTTACTTTAGCCCTCTTGGTGTCACAGGACCCTATATGGTCCCACACCTTTCACACCCGCACAGTGCCAAGGGACCATATATATGGTCCCACACCTTTCACATCCGCATAGTGCCACAGGACCATATATGGTCCCGAGAAAAATGCCCTTTGTAAACTGAATTCAGATATCAAACACTGAGTGCACAAAGTCAAAATTATAACCATCATCACCCAAATCATCTTAGCTTTAACATCATGCAGCTCATACTTTATACAATGCTATTGATTAGAAATATGGAGAGATGAGTAAAGTGGCTACCGCGCTTCTCGGCCTTTCTCTAAAATGTTTGAACACCAAGCGAATGACGGCGAATTTTGTTTATGAACCCATGTCACATACACATCAATATTTTCAGACAAAATCCTTGTTCATAACACATAATATGACCAGAGTGGTGAGAATACATGTTTCTCACAACTGTATACTTATTCACATAGATAAATTTCTGTTCACTCCTTTACGAACAAGTTTATTTACACGTTTTGTATATTTTTTTTTACTATTGGTAATAGCGGAATGGTCGGTACACATGAGAAAATGACAGTGTATATTTCCATTACATTTATGACGTTCATTGAATGAAATTATAACCATCATCACCCTAATCATCTCAGCGTTAATATCGTGTAACTCATATTTTATGCACTGCTACGGATTGCGAAATATGGAGAGATTTGTAAAGTGGTTACCACGCTTCTCGATCTTTTTCTGCCATGTTGAACTCCATGCGAATGAAGGCAATTATTTATTATGCACCCATGTCATATACACGTAACTATTATTATATCAGATAGCCAATTTGAAAAAGAAATCTGATCTGACTGGCCAGAAAGATTTACTTTTCCCCACTGTACAGTTATTGGCGTAAGAGTACTAACGTTTAGTCCGCCACAGTAGTGTTTTGTTCAAGTATTGCATATGTTTATCGACTGTGTGTCATGGCGATTTAGCACGACGCTAGAGACGAAACGATAGTCCAGATTGTCTTTTTGTTTATGATGCTGATTTACAGAAAATATTCAATTCAATATTCTAAGATACTTAAAGATAGTTATTATTTATATATTTATGGGCAGGAAGTCCATGATCAAAAGCTAAACATTGAACAGCCAAGCCTGAAGTGATCGACAGGGCACGTTTGCATCATATCTGTGCCGCGATTCCTTGTCTACCGGTTGTCCTACATGCTCGCCCGATAAGACAAATAACTGCTACTTTTTTCAATTGGAATGACTAAGAGTCATGTGTGATTGCTCTAACATCGCCGTGTGAGTGACTTGCCCTAACTGTTTCACATTTTGTCGCAAAAGGAGATTTCAAAAGTGTGGCCACGACATTTAATGTGAGTCAACGCCATATTGTAAACAAATTGTGTCAAGGTCGGTTCCACATGTGATAGCTCATCCCCCTTTTCTGTCGTTGGTACACACAATATAAACATAATACAACTACTGAAAACATCAACATAACATCTACAATGATTACAGCAATACCTTTTTTGTATTTGGGTTAACCACTTATGGATACGATGTGCTGTAAAGTTCGATTTCGATTTGTTTTTCCTTTCACTGAAACTGTGATAATGGCGCTGCGATTGGTTTGCTTTAATAGTATTTTCTGTGAGTCTAATGTACATGGTACATGCTGTATTGTACAAGATAATTGATAACCAATTGTGTATGCATATATATCACAAATACACATTACAAATTTCTTAAAAAATTGGAATATATTATCATAACACGACAGCTCGTATTTCCAACATTCTGCCATGGATATTAGATCTAATATAAATATTAGATTTACACCTTATTGATATACACTGTACTCTCAATTAACGTATGATAATCTATTGCAAGTCTTCAACTCTTATTTGATATGTTATCTGAAATGTCAGCAATGAGTACACTTTATTTTATTTTGTTACAGTCTGCAATTTTTTTCGAATAGGCTAATAGATGGTCGGTGATTTCCCGCCGCTGTGAATTTGTCAACTGGACAGGTTCGCATGATTTGACCTCACGTGTTCTGACGTTAATGATGTCACATGAAACAGCTGATCTAATGTTGTGGTAGTATAATGGATACACGTGGTTTCATTTTCCAAATAAAAATATTCTCTTTGACTGAACTAGAAAGCAAAGAACTAGAAAATGTCCACGGCAACTGACGAGTGAATGAGACCGCTTATCATTTGACTAACAGTGTTAGAATATTTAGCACAGTTTTCTAATTTTGGTATGTTGACATGTGCTTTTCATATCTGTTTGAAGGCTTGATATCCAAAGAAAATAATGTGCATTTAGTTGAGTAAGAGAATGGAATATTTTACAGTGAGAAAGCTGTCAAAATGGATTTTTATTATTTTAGCTTCATCTAATAGAATTTCGAATGGTTCAATTTATAACATCAACAGTAAAAGTAATTAGATCTACTCACAATATATAGATAATCGATTTCTGAAAGACAAAATGTTTTCAGTGTAAATGTGATTTCGTTTTGATGTTTTATATTGTGTTATTTATAGATTTTTTCACTCTGCATTATCTAAATTACCAAATACTTCGATCAGTGACATAGTAGTAATTACTTTGTTTTGTATCCTTTTGTATTTAGATAAAATAGATTTTTGTAAAAGAAATATTTGTCTAAGAGCAAAATCAAAGCATTCTTGTGGTTCTTTTTTCACCATTTTAATTTGTATATCTTCCCTCCAAGCTGTAGTTTAGCTAGGCCAAAATTAAGAAAAATAGCAAAGACATAATAACTGAAAACCATTTATATTAAAGATTTTGCTGGTTAAATTTTCGAAGTTCAATAGCAAGAATATATTTTTCCTTTTATGACCAATAATTCCATTACTTTCATTGACCTACGATCATTATCTATACTGAACAACAAAAGTTCCTGTGACATTGAATAAGATTTAATGCAAAGTTATGTTTTTTTCCAAATCTGAAACAATTTCGGTTTGCAACAGATAAAAGACTCCTGTAAGTGTTTAAATGGTATAATTTGCCATACTGATCATGACTTCAGAAAATGCGTGATTTCATAAAAAAAACCACTAACATGCCAAAATGTCAATTTACTAATCAATAGCGTGTGTGTCCACCTCTGGTTGCGATGCAAGCAACACATCTTCGTCTCATGGAATGGACCAGGCATCGCACTAAGTCCTGTGGGATATCTGTCCATATCTGCTGAGCATGTTTCGAAGTTCCTGGAGTGTCTGTGGAACATGTGGTTGACGTCGAAGGCGCCGATCCATCTCATCCCACATTTGCTCGATTGGTGAGAGATCAGGGGAGCGAGCCGGCCAGGGGATGACATTCACGTTGTTTTGTTGAAGAGAATCCTGAACAAGTCGAGCAATATGAGGCCGGGCGTTGTCCATGACACAATGATTGACGTGACGTTCACCTCGACGTCGGTACACTCAAACCCGTCCATCGCTGTGGCTGAGGTGAAAACAAAACTCGTCAGTGAATAGAACTTGTCCCCACTGTGGTTTCCTGTCAAAATGGGACGTCTGGTGGGTCTTAAGGCGACAATCCCTGCACATCTGAGGCGACGACGTATGGTTTGTCAAGATCGAAGGCCAGGGATGCTTCTTGCAGTCACTGTTGCTGGCTGGAATCGATTCCGTAGGTGTGTTGTTCGAATTCAGTTGTCTTGTCGATTATTGGTTACGCGTGGCCTGCCACTCTGAGGATGGTCTCTGACTGCATTCGTCTGTTGCCAACATTGCCATAAGCACCAAATGGTGTTTCTGTGGACGTTAAATTGTCTTGCAACATCATATTGCTCAATCCTGCTTCAAGCATACCAATGGCTCGCAGACGCTCATTTTCGGACAGGTGTGGCATTTCGTAATGTTGAATAATTGTGTAATTTTGTTGTTTTTCTGAGTGGTTGTTGTCAGCACGATGCTAAACAATGCATATGGATTCCCATTTACGCACATGTTTTTATACCAATTCTTGGGTAGTGAAATGCATGGGGCTTGCACAAAAGTCAACTTTTGCATGGAATACTTGCTTTTCTGTAGCAGTTGCATTTTTGTGACTTGATTCCATACATGTACTACAATAATGAAAACCAAACTTTACTTGTTTGAAAAATACACTAAAATATTGGTGTCACAGGAACTTATGTTGTTGAGTATATTTCAAACTTTTCCTTTACTAGAATGGGATGGAATGAGAAACTACTCGAAAAAATCTATCACATATGTCCTTCAATGTACATGTACATACCTAGGTGTAAATACACTTCTAAAGTCGTATTTATGAAACACTATGAAAGAAAAAGTTGTATTTCATGGACTGGCCATACAAGTATATTTTGAGCAAAGGTCTAAGTGAGGCAGCCAAGTTTGAAATACATGCTGGGACGAGGATGTATGTTTTCTAGTGGTCATAGTGAAGCAAATTTTTTCAGAGTTTTGAGAACATGAGCTGTATATACATTAAACACTTTTTAATCGAATTAACTCATATTTTCATAATTTTCTCTTTCACATAATCTAGATATTATTTATAATTGTACCGTAAAACAATAATATTGCCTTCTTTCACCTGTACTGTGCAAGTTATTGTTTCCTTGTATCAAATATAGCCTAGCTACTCTACTCTTCTTGAGCTTTCAAATTCAAGTATTAAAATTGTCCAATTCCATCTCGTTTCAAGCTTGATATAAGTTAGATTTAAACCATTAACAACACATCATGACACCCGAAGCAACAATAAGTGGTTTGTGTGATTGCACAACGAAGCAATGACATATGGCGCCCAAGTTGTGAGTGATTGAAAATAGGTTTGTTGAATAAATTTGCTGCCCATGAAAACGTTTCAACAATTTTGATTGAAGCTACATGTACCTACTCTTGGGTGGTATTACATTAGTTTTATCTTGTTAATTATTAAGAAATAATAATGATGTCCGATATTGAGAGATGTCAATTTGAGTATTGTTAAGGCTGTTTAGCGATCTTTCACATTTTGTCCTTTGAAAATGTACGATGTCAATTACCCCGAAGTTGTTTTTATCACTAATAAAAGAGCACGGTCACTGAAACATACATGGAAGTAACCGGGATTTCTTCAAGATATACATTCCAAACTGGCATTCGCATTGTGACATAATCTTTGAAACAGTCTGCGTTTGAATTAATCATGACCACTTCCGTCAATTTTGTTTTGACGTCAAAAACACACACAATTTCATCGGGATATTTTTATCGGTAAATATAACTCACAAAAAAATCTTAGTGAATGTGTACTTCAACATAAATGTCATATGTCTATCACTGTTAGGACATGCACTTGCCAATGATATGAATTATTGGACATTATTCAAACAAGAGCCCTTACTTGACTTTGCTTGCCATATTCGGGTACTTCCGTGTTACGATTAATGTAGAAAAGTAGGAAACTTATAATATCAGCACTTTTATCGATGGCTAGGCAGTGCATAGATCTTTTGGATTTGGTGACTTCAAATACTGATGGAAACACAGTCAACTCGAGTTGCATGTTACATAATTTGGTTACTCTGTGTGAAGAAGTAAGGACGTTGTAACACTTTTGATACAATGTACAAGACTTTGAAACCGCAATGTCATCACAGTGCGGCACTGAGCGGTATGCAGGCTGACTGACGTCCAGGCACCATGAGGGTTAATGTGTCTTCTTAATTTTATACAAAAAGTTTACAAATTTGTAAAAAGTACATGACAGAGATGATGGTTGCAGCTGGGTTAAATGTAACCTTTTGTGAAGATGACAGATGGTGAACATTTCAACATTGATTTCTAGAAGCAGCAAGAGAGTACAGAGTTTGGTGTCCTCAACTTCCGTGCTGTGTACAGATATGACTCTCACACTCTGTATGTGGAAGGTAGGCCTTCATGTTCATCACATCTCCATGTGTTGACCCTATCACATTTACCACACTACTTGTTGACTATCACCCCTGTGTGTTGAACACGTCCTGTGTTTGTGTGTTTGTTGTTTCATGCCATACTCAGCAATATTCCAGCTATATTGCTGCAGTTTGTAAACAAACAAGTCTGGACCAGACAATCCAGTGATTGACAAAATGAGCATCAATATACAGAATTGGGATATGATCACATGCATCAACCAAGACAGCGAGCCCAACAACCCGATCCTGTTGGTCGCCTCTTACGACAAGCATGGGTTGCTTTAGACCATAAAGCATATAGCTCTAGAGCCTTGTGGCTGTATTTGTAAAGAACATAGCTCTAGAGCCTTGTGGCTCTATTTGTAAAGCACATAGCTCTATGGCCTTGTGGCTCTATTTGTAAATCATATAGCTCTAGAGCCTTGCGGTTGTATTTGTAAAGCATATAGCTCTAGAGCCTTGTGGCTGTATTTGTAAAGCACATAGCTCTAGAGCCTTGTGGCTCTATTTGTAAAGCATATAGCTCTATGGCCTTGTGGCTCTATTTGTAAAGCATATAGCTCTATGGCCTTGTGGCTGTATTTGTAAAGCATATAGCTCTATGGCCTTGTGGCTCTATTTGTAAAGCTTATCAGGACATAGCCAGGCATCTCTGTGTGTTACTGTCTGATATGCAATGTTATTGTTTACAGTTCTGAGTGCCAAGGATCTCATCCCACTGGATGCCAATGGTGAGTGAGTGAATGAAAGACTAGAGAAAGTCCATCATTGAGGGTTTGTCTGATGGATGCCTGCTTGTTTTGGGTTTCTGTGTCTGTGAAACATAGGATATATAGTCAGTCATAAACTTCCACATTTGTCTTATTCTCCATTTATTTTATTTTTAAAGAGTTTTACCTGTAATACGTCATCTTCTGAAAAAATCATGTGAGCTTCTGCAGTTTGTCATGGTTCTATTTGAGGACACCTGTACTGAGGTGAGCTGTATTTAGTGTGCCAGTAACGCTTGGTAGAGATGTTGAAGTGTTGAGATGAAGCTACTGTCCATCATCTGGTGTATCCTCTCCCCCCAGGTCTCAGTGACCCCTTTGTGCTGGTGCAGCTCTGTCCGGACCATGTGTTCCCCGACATCACTGTGCAGAGCACGCAGGTCGTCAAGAAAACTCTACATCCACTCTTTGAGGAGTCATTTGAGTTGTAAGTCGGTTGATGCAACCCAGCACCGAACATGGAATCTCAAGCCTCTTTGTCTCATGTCCAGAGTCTGTACAGTAGGAGGTTGGAAACTTCATCACCTATGGCAGCCTGATGTTTACAGTTTGTCAGTAGCTATCTCTCAGATGAGCAAATAAATACCCAGTGAAAGTTTCAACTCCTCGCGTTACAGGGTTAGCGTGTTACAGGGGTACATAAATGGTTTAAGCAGTATATTCCCCAGGGAGCTGAGAATGATTCTTGAGTGCACAATGATCCAGTGACCGGGGTAATTATAGCGCTTTGAGCATGCCCCCGAGTGGTGTTGAAATATGCGCAATATACATAGCCTTTTATTATAATAATATTTTTAACTTATCCTGCATTACTCCTTAATGCATAATGTTTGTTTCTTGACAGAAAAGAGCTGTGTGAGGGTCTTTGCTTGAAGAAGTTGCTCCAACTAGCTGAGAGGCCAGCCAATCATGCAGCTCCCACGTGACCAAGGGAAGTGACGTCACGAATCCTCACATTACTCTTGTCACTTGATGAGAGAAGACCTGTTTTTTTGCTGTAACATAAAATTGATTCAAACCCTCACGTGTTTGCTATCTGGGTTAATGTTGTTTTGTCTTTGTGTTGTGACTACCGTTTGTTTTTTGTACATTCTATGTTTGATAAACATGTGCATAACCTTATAAGACACTTACTGGCGTTTTCTCAAAAGAAACATAAGGCCAGGTGTCTTGTTGCTCCAAGTAGCCATCTTGAATATTTTGCGTAGCCAGCAGTTTGTGAACTGGTTTGCATTCTATATTCTTTTGCTTGGTACCCCACGATTGGCGTATCCTCGCAAGTATTGTTTGTTTTGTTATTTGTTGTCTTACGTTTGTTGTAATATTTGGGATAAACAAATTATAGCATACATACTTGGGCGGGGACGCATTGTGATTTTACACTGCTTCGTTGCAGATATCATGCCCTCCTGCTCAAAGTGCCAGCGTAATATGTCGGCGTGGGATCCCCACCCACTGTGCCTTAATTGTACATCTCAATGCCTCCAGGGTCACCAATGTAAGACTGTTTACTGCTTTCACCCACAGCTTTCAGACAGTACCTCCGTGTGTGTAAAAAACGCAGAACACAGCAGGCCACGATGTCAGACTACTCCGAGGTTTCGCCTTCTAGATCTGCTATCTCGGATGACCACCCCCGACCTCAACTGCTACCTTGATGTCGGACCCCATGGTTGTAGTCTCTATCCAGAGCACTTTGACAACCACGACAGCGTCTATCTTTACGGCGGTGACCACCGTGACGCCCGGCATGGCGCTCACGTACTAGACGGCGCCTATACTATCCTCCGGACAGACGCTCGGTCTCCCACAGGCGCCCCGCCTACGGCACAGACGTTCGGTTTCCCACAGGCGCCCCCGCCTACGGCACTGAAGCCCATGATAGACGCCTCCCTCCTCCAGTACATTCAGTACTTACAGGCCAGACAGCCATCGACGCCAGCACCTTTACAGACGCCTCTGCAGACACCTCTACTAGCGCCTATACGGATAGCGCCTATCCTTAAACAGCGCTGATACAGACACCAGCGCCTTGTCGGGCGCCTATACAGACGCCAGCGCCTCGTCGGACACCTATACAGACGCTAGTGCCTCGTCAGACGCCTATACAGACGCCTTTACAAAAGCGTCCAAAAAGGCGTCTATCCTGGCGTCTCGGGTTGCGCCTATCCTTGGGCCTCTCCCAAGTGCACCTCGGGACAACTGCGCAGACAGACGATTAGCCGTGCTACCTGCTCTCATTCTACAGGCCTATGAGCTCCCCAAGGCCAACTACCTACGGAGACCAGAGCGGTCGCTGGACACTTGATTGGCGTCCATACAACAGCGCTCCAACACGGACACTTGATTGGCGTCCATACAATGGCGCTCCAACACTTCCCAAGGTCCTGGAAGCGCCTAACCTTGTGGTGATGGTTCTGTGGAAATCTCCCGCCAATTCTCCTCGTCTATCAACTTCGGTTGAACATTTCCTCGGAGAAAGCGAACGGACTCTCAAAGATGTCCCTACCCACGGCGTCTGGTAGATATTATCTGCACCACAGTTGACGATCATAACCCCATGACCAATTCGGTATTCAACAGAATCGTCATATCCTTCCGGGTACCTAACTGGGTCATCGTTCACAACACCGGACCACTCTCCGTCACTCTTATCATCAGGATCAACTAGCCCCTACACCGGCAACGTCACAGTTCCTACTCAGAACTCGGACACACCACTCGTTTGTCAACCACAGGGTTCACAGGGGATTGGCCGTGTGTGGAGCTTGAACTAGTCCACTCAGCAAACGGGGTTACAGTTTACTGCGCAGGACGACATACACGTCACGTGTCAAGAACTACGACTGTAAACATCGTCGACTGTAATTAGGTAAACCGACCTTATGGAATCTGTGCAGTGTATTTGTACAGACTGGCTTGCATGATCGCTTATGCGTAACACTGCAACCACTCGACCTGTTGCTGTACATCAATAGCTCATTCCAGAGTCTCAGCCTTCGCCCGAGACGAGACAGCTCTCAAGACCCTGGCTAGGGTGTCACAGCCAGCCTTCTCTGAGGCGTCCAAGCCTGGCTCATACCAGCTGCGACGCAACACCCTCCAGCCCCAGTGGCGCGGCACCACCTCAACCTCTCGGGGTAGAGGAAAAGGCAGGGCATCGGGCGGTTAACATTCCCATCATGGCCACTCCAAGGGAGGTAACGCCGACTGCAGGGACTTCCAGTGAATAGCCAGACAAGCACGACTGGGACTTCCACCCCCTGCCGTCCAAGTTGTGGACACTCCAGTACGTGGGAGACTGGGTCGTTGCTGGCAGAATTGTGAGATCCTGGGGGACCCATAGGTCACCAACATCATCTGGGAACAAGCTGGCGCTTATAGACGACCCGCCGCTCACGTCGTTGCCCATAGCCACCTACCCCCCTACTCAACAAACGCTCCCTGGCGCGTCCACCTTATTCAGGATGACCAATCGCTCACTGGAAGCAGGCCCTCAGACACGCCCGGCTCTCCATCCAGACGGACAACATCACTGTCGTATGGTGCCTTCGGAACCAAGGAACGACTCATTCGACTTCGCTCCTTCAACAGACGTTCCGATTGTTTCACCTGGTGGATCATCTGGGCTTTCAGTTCCAGGTCCACCACATCCCGGGCTGCCGAAACATCCTAACGGATGCCCTATCTCGGCCAGACAAAGTGGCTTCCACAGAGTGGAAACTTCACCCAGATGCCTAGGGCTTGTTTGTCGAGACCATGGTCTCCCCAACATAGACCTATTCGCCACCAGCCAGAACTACCAGATCCACGACCTACATATCTCCAGTGCCGGGATCCACTGGCTTGGGCAGTCGACACTTTCAGTGTCCCCTGGGAAGGACTAAAAGTGTACGCTTTTCCGCCACCTGTACTCCTTCCCAAAGTCGTCCAGAAGATGAGATCAACACGGAACCTCGATCTGACTTTGGTCGGCCCTGGTGGCCAGTGAGGGCTTGGTTCTTCGACCTCAGAGAGCTGTCCGACGTCAACCCACTGCCACACCCAGATTGGCAAAATCTGCTGATCCACCCTCACAGCAAACAGCCACGCCCAAGCTCAAGGGCAGTACCATCATGACCTACCTTGTGGAGCTCATTTCCGTCCTGGCAGTTCCGGAAGATCGGCGATTGACGTAAATCCGGAACTACAGGCTCTGCTCCGCTCATTCAGGCTGGAAGACCAAATCTCATACACCAGCTTGGGGCTTGAATGTCATTCTCACCTCGCTGAGAGACTCGCCTTGTCATTCTACAACCTAACGAAAAAGATGGTCTTCCTACTGGCGTTCACCACAGCGGCCCGTGTCAGTGAGCTACACGCCCTAGACGTCACATGGGTCCGCTTTGAGCAGGGAGCACATGGAGCCGTGCATCTGGGCCTGTGCTGGGACTTCATTGCAAAGAATCAGCTCCCAGGCCAGCCCGATAGATCGTTCCTCATCCCCCCTCTTTCATCTATTGTGGGCGCAGAAGATGAACCAGAGCTCCGTCTATGTCCGGTTAGAGCGCTTTGTTGCTACATCCAACGATCCAAGGAACGCCGTAGACAACGACGATGCCTCTTCGTACCGGTATCTGCGACCTCGCGAGCGGAAGTCAGCTGCAACATGATCACTATCTGGCTACGAGCCATCATCCTCCAGGCCTAGGAGGCAGCAGGATTGGACCCCCCCACGCTCCAACAACCCGCACGATATTCGGGCGGTCGCCTCCACCATGGCGCTACACAGCAACTCCTCTCTAAACGCCATCATGGAGGGATGTTTCTGGCGATCCAACACGGTCTTCGCCAGTCACTACCTTCCAGACGTCGCTTTGGAGGACATGCAAGGCACGCACAGCTTTGGTCCATTAGTAGTGGCCCAGCAGGTCACCACTACTACACATTGACCACGCCTCCAAGTCCAGAGCCGGCCTTTCGACCTCACCTGGCGTAATCCCTGGACTAGAAGGTTCATGCCTCATTTGCATACGGCTCGGTGCTCCAGTCTTGACCTAACCGGACGTTATTGTCAGGCTGCGTAGTACCAGGACACAACGCATACCTGACTCTTCCCTTCCATGTAATGGTCATCCAGGCCGACCACAGCTGAAGACAGGCTGACGGAAACAAAGTTTCCTATACATGGAGTGGTCACCCGAAGCCGACCACACAGCCGGGGACGGGCTAAGGGAATGGGAGGTTCCCACACATGGAGTGGTCACCCGATGCCGACCACACAGCCAAGGATTGGCTAGGGAACAGAGTCTGGAAATAACAGATGAAAGTCCACATCTGAAGGTATGCCCACCTCTGGTTCCGTCCGACAAAGATGCATTAGGGAGTAATGCAGGATAAGTAAATAATCTAGTAAAATCCTAGATATTTTTTATATTTGTATACTTATCCTGCATTACTGCGTCTAAAGGGACCCGCCCGTCGCAGATCTACCTCCCCACGATGCCTTCCGATTTTTCGGACTACAGAGGAATGTGAGGATCCGTGACATCACTTCCCTTGGTCATGTGGGAGCTGCATGATGGGCTGGCCTCTCAGCTAGTTGGAACAGCTTCTTCAAGCAAAGACCTTCACACAGCTCTTTTCTCTGTCAAGAAACAAGCAGTAATATGCATTAAGGAGTAATGCAGGATAAGTATCCAAATATAAAAAATATCTAGGATTCTACTAGTATTATTATTACTATTATTATTACATGTATCAATATTATATTATTATTACTTCTCTTCCCCTGCTGCAGTGCCGTCAATCCTGGCCAGTGCCAGCACAAGGGGGCCACGCTGCTGTTTACTGTCATGGACCACGACCTGGTGTTCCAGAACGACTTTGCCGGCGAGGTGTACCTGGCGATGGAGGACGTCCCCGGAGTCAGTGGCGAGGAGGTCAAGGGCTATGATGCCCTCAGCATCATCTCCCTCCCTCTCATACAGCCAAAACACAAAGGTAGAATCCCCAGGGAAGATGCTACGCGTACACTTCTCTGTTACCACGGTTATGTCGGAGCTGGCATCATTGTTTTATTTCTTAGAGTGATAAGAAAGGAAAAAGCATCCAACCAGGGGTGGATCCAGGATTTAAAAAAGGGGTTTCCGCTTTGGCATGATCCACACAATAGCTGACCCAAAACATTACAAACACTATATGTAAACCATCATTGACTTTATGATTATTCCAGTTACAGAGAGGATTGTATATTTGAATGCTTATTGTTTCAATAAGGTGTGTTCTATGTTGTTGTTTTAGTCTGAGGCGGTGAATGCACTGTATGTCTTAAATGCATCTTTCTGTCTGCTCAAATGATAACATACAGCCTGAGTATTGTGCAGGGTCATAATTGGATAATGATGTTGTATGATGCACTAGGTGAATATATGCTGTGGAAACACTAATGTCTGTTTACCGTCCACAGCTTATGGTGCCTTGCAGATCCTGGCACAGCGGGTCTGGGACAAGGAGGCGCAGGAATTCGTGAAGAAACGGAGCAAGGTGGAGGAACAGGCAGCCTGAAGGTCCAAAGTCAGTCACATGACCTCGCTTTTGAAGTTGTACGTCGGGGTCAGTCAGCTGCATGATGATGTGTCTGTGCTCCTGTTGAAGACTGTGCTTCTTTATACATATGTGTGCCTGTGTGCCCCCTGGCGATGTGTTGCCAAGCTATCAGACAACAGCTGCCATGGAGACATGACAGGAGGATTATAACTTCTACAGGCAGATCATTGAGATGAGATTTCATCTTGCTTAAAATAAGTGGAGAGGATATACAGCTGAAAGATATTTTGTATCAAAGACCAGTGTGATGGTCACTGTTAACTGCAAAAGTAAACTGAAAAAATCTGTCATGTTTGGAATAATACGAAACATGATATACACAAAGTTATTGAGGAGTTACGTGTACGACTCACAGAGCTGCACAATTTGAATACTTAACTCACTGTGTAAAATCCGCGTGAGAACTCTGTGTGATTGTGTTGGATTGTGTTCCCATAAGACACTGTGTTTTCTCTACCCACAAGGCACTGTGTTTCCTCTACCCTCAAGATACTGTGTTACCTCTCCCCACAAGACACTGTTTCCTCTCCCCACAAGAAACTGTTTCCTCTACCCTCAAGATACTGTGTTTCCTCTACCCTCAAGATACTGTGTTTCCTCTACTCACAAGACACTGTATTTCCTCTACCCACAAGACAGTTTCCTCTACCCACAAGACACTGTTTCCTCTACCCTCGAGACACAGTGTTTTCTCTACTCACAAGACACTGTATTTCCTCTACCCACAAGGCACTGTGTTTCTTCTACCAACAAGACACTGTATTTCCTCGACCCACAAACATCATCCACAGCAGAGGTGACAAAAATCTTCTGAAGTGCATATTAATTTCTTCTAAAACAATAGAAAACATGTTTACGCTTTTAGTAGATTCTTGGAGTAGAAGTAACGGTGAAAAGGAAGAAGTGAGGTATGCATGCTCACATGTTATCCCAGCACACCACAGGTACATGTTACAGAACTAGGACATCTGTGTGTCACACATCTCACATCTCCATAACTTTGTGACAGAACCTCATACTTTGCCTGACAGAGTTTTAGTACCCTCTGCAGCCATTGTTTCATGGTGACACAAACACAAGCAACAGGTGTCAGTGCAGCCATTGTTTCATGGTGACACAAACACAAGCAACAGGTGTCTGTGCAGCCATTGTTTCATGGTGACACAAACACAAGCAACAGGTGTCTGTGCAGCCATTGTTTCATGGTGACACTAACACAAGCAACAGGTGTCTGTGCAGCCATTGTTTCATGTCGACACTAACACAAGCAACAGGTGTCTGTGCAGCCATTGTTTCATGGTGACACTAACATAAACAACAGGTGTCTGTGCAGCCATTGTTTCATGGTGACACTAACACAAGCAACAGGTGTCTGTGCAGCCATTGTTTCATGTCGACACTAACACAAGCAACAGGTTCCTGTGCAGCTATTGTTTCATGGTGACACTAACATAAACAACAGGTGTCTGTGCAGCCATTGTTTCATGGTGACACTAACACAAGCAACAGGTGTCTGTGCAGCCATTGTTTCATGGTGACACTAACATAAACAACAGGTGTCTGTGCAGCTATTGTTTCATGGTGACACTAACACAAGCAACAGGTGCCTGTGCAGCCATTGTTTCATGGTGACACTAACACAAACAACAGGTGCCTGTGCAGCCATTGTTTCATGGTGACACTAACACAAGCAACAGGTTCCTGTGCAGCCATTGTTTCATGGTGACACAACACAAGCAACAGGTGTCTGTGCAGCCATTGTTTCATGGTCACATTAACACAAGCAACAGGTGCCTGTGCAGCCATTGTTTCATGGTGACACTAACACAAGCAACAGGTTCCTGTGCAGCCATTGTTTCATGGTGACACAAACACAAGCAACAGGTGTCTGTGCAGCCATTGTTTCATGGTGACACAAACACAAACAACAGGTGTCTGTGCAGCCATTGTTTCATGGTGAGTGCTTGTACCATATGCTTGATTTTAAGGGGTAGAGTATATATCACATGCTTGCTTCTGTCTCTGGTACAATATAGTTCTTGTATCTATCACAATGTACACCATCTTAGCTCACCTTTCTCTTGGTTCTTGTATGATTGTATTTCTCACAACTGCACTCTATTTTTGTGTTAATTTCTTGATACACACATCTGTATTCAAAGTTGACAGGTTATTGATTCAGTACTATTTTGTGGATAACATTTTTCACGTGCTCCCTGGCTAGATGACGAATGTGTATATCTTCACAGTCTCATCAAGCTAGTGTGTAGGAAGCACTGTGACATCAAGCTTGTGTGTAGGAAGGAGGGTGACATCCATCTAGTGTGTATATCTTCACAGTCTCATCAAGCTAGTGTGTAGGAAGCACAGTGATATCAAGCTAGTGTGTAGGAAGCATGGTTAAATCAAGCTTGTGTGTAGGAAGCACGGTGACATCAAGCTAGTGTGTATTTCTTCACAGTCTCATCAATCTAGTGTGCAGGAAGCACGGAGATATCAAGCTTGTGTGTAGTAAGCACGGTGATATCAAGCTAGTGTGTAGGAAGCACGGAGATATCAAGCTAGTGTGTAGGAAGCACGGTGACATCAAGCTAGTGTGTATATCTTCACAGTCTCATCAAGCTAGTGTGTAGGAAGCACGGAGATATCAAGCTTGTGTGTAGGAAGCACCGTGACATCAAGCTAGTGTGTAGGAAGCATGTCGACATCAAGCTAGTGTGTAGGAAGCACAGAGATATCAAGCTAGTGTATAGGAAGCACGGTGACATCAAGCTAGTGTGTAGGAAGCATTGTGACATCAAGCTAGTGTGTAGGAAGCATGGTGACATCAAGCTAGTGTGTAGGAAGCACGGTGACATCAAGCTAGTGTGTATATCTTCACAGTCTCATCAAGCTAGTGTGTAGGAAGCACGGTGACATCAAGCTTGTGTGTAGAAGGCATGGTGACATCAAGCTAGTGTGTATATCTTCACAGTCTCATCGAGCTAGTGTGTAGGAAGCACAGTGATATCAAGGTAGTGTGTAGGAAGCACGGTGACATCAAGCTAGTGTGTAGGAAGCATGTCGACATCAAGCTAGTGTGTAGGAAGCACGGTGACATCAAGCTAGTTTGTAGGAAGCATGGTGACATCAAGCTAGTGTGTAGGAAGCACGGTGACATCAAGCTAGTGTGTAGGAAGCATGGTGATATCAAGCTAGTGTGTAGGAAGCATGGTGACATCAAGCTAGTGTGTAGGAAACACGGTGACATCAAGCTAGTGTGTAGGAAACACGGTGACATCAAGCTAGTGTGTAGGAAACACGGTGACATCAAGCTAGTGTGTAGGAAGCATGGTGAGATCAAGCTAGTGTGTAGGAAGCACAGTGATATCAAGGTAGTGTGTTGGAAGCATGGTGACATCAAGCTAGTGTGTAGGAAGCACGGAGATATCAAGCTAGTGTTTGGGAAGCACAGTGATATCAAGGTAGTGTGTAGGAAGCACGGTGATATCAAGCTAGTGTGTAGGAAACACGGTGACATCAAGCTAGTGTGTAGGAAACACGGTGACATCAAGCTAGTGTGTAGGAAGCATGGTGACATCCAGCTAGTGTATAGGAAGCATGGTGAGATCAAGCTAGTGTGTAGGAAGCATGGTGAGATCAAGGTAGTGTGTAGGAAGCATGGTGACATCAAGGTAGTGTGTTGGAAGCATGGTGACATCAAGCTAGTGTATAGGAAGCATGGTGAGATCAAGCTAGTGTGTAGGAAGCACAGTGATATCAAGGTAGTGTGTTGGAAGCATGGTGACATCAAGCTAGTGTGTAGGAAGCACAGTGATATCAAGGTAGTGTGTAGGAAGCATGGTGACTAGCTTAGCTAGTGTGTAGGAAGCACGGTGACATCAAGCTAGTGTGTAGGAAGCATGGTGACATCAAGCTAGTGTGTAGGAAGCACGGTGATATCAAGCTAGTGTGTAGGAAGCACGGTGACATCAAGCTAGTGTGTAGGAAGCATGGTGACATCAAGCTAGTGTGTAGGAAGCACGGTGACATCAAGCTAGTGTGTAGGAAGCATGGTGACATCAAGCTAGTGTGTAGGAAGCACGGTGACATCAAGCTAGGGTGTAGGAAGCACGGTGAGATCAAGCTAGTGTGTAGGAAACACGGTGACATCAAGCTAGTGTGTAGGAAGCACGGTGACATCAAGCTAGTGTGTAGGAAGCACGGTGACATCAAGCTAGTGTGTAGGAAGCACGGTGAGATCAAGCTAGTGTGTAGGAAGCACGGTGACATCAAGCTAGTGTGTAGGAAGCATGGTGACATCAAGCTAGTGTATAGGAAGCATGGTGATTAAGGCTTATAGTTCATTTAAAAAAATATCTGATTTTGTAGCTGTAGCTGAAACAATATCTCATCTTGATACAACCGCCAACCCCACCCTCAATATCAAATGATTGATCCCCAACAGATCAGTCGCTGCACATTCAGAGGTTGATGTTCAGCATTTTGTATCGTAGTGCTCAACACATTTTTGTATATTTATATTGAAGTCCTCACACAGATTGTATTGATATATCTATTGCTGTTATGTTTGACATGTTATTGCATATTTATTGTTTGAAATTATCCTGTGTGTTTTGTATTTTCAGCTAGAGCTGATTGATTCTCAAATGATTTTTATGACCAAAGTTCATATTTCCTTATATAAAATTGAAATTGTGGGTGTTGAAAGATCAACAGATCTGCATGTGGAGAGGTGGAAGTCTGTGTGTGCCACACCAGAGCACTGTCAGTGTTCTGCAGGGGATGTTGTGTGCATGAGGAATTCTTGCCTGAGAATGTCAAGTATCATACAGCCTTCAACAAACACACCTGTATCAGTAATAGGAAAGAAACCGATAATTTCTCAGGGATAATTACAGATGCCTTTCTTGAATACAATTCTTGACTAGAACTAGCTGTGACTTACGGTGACTCTGTTTCAATGAGAAGCTGTGTTTCATACTCTTTTTAAAAAAACCTTGTAGTGTTTAGTCTGGGGGGGGGGCTTTCCCTGTATAGGAATCTAAGGGTATAAAGTCCATCAAGGGCCTTCATCAAGTGGCCACAATCAAACACAGTAGCAGTGAAAAGAAATGGGTGTCCTTAAACTTATGTCAGTCATATTCGTATAACTATTGTGTAGTTGGAAAGAATGTATTGTATGTTTTAAACATTTACTTTGGCTGTTGTAACCTTTGTCATGGCTCAAAAGATCTCATTATATCCTAGTACATCTTATATCATTAAATGCTTGTATGACTTATATCTTTATATTGTATTCACTGTACTCTGTATTATTGTGCAAGCATGTACCACAGTGCACTTTTTTGTATACAAGCTCACAATACATGTGTTGTATACAAGCCCACAATACACACATTGTATACAAGCCCACAATACACACGTTGTCCACAAGCCCGCAATACACACATTGTATACAAGCCCACTAAACACACATTGTGTACATGCCCACAATACACACATTGTATACAAGCCCACAATACATACATTGTATACAAGCCCACAATACACAAGTTGCATACATGTCCACAATACACATGTATACATGCCCACAATACACAAGTTGTATACAAGCCCACAATACACAAGTTGTAAAAATGCCCACAATAAAACACATTGTATACAAGCCCACAATACACACATTGTATACAAGCCCACAATACACACATTGTATACAAGCCCACAATACACACATTGTATACAAGCCCACTATACACACATTGTGTACAAGCCCACAATACACAAGTTGCATACATGTCCACAATACACATGTATACATGCCCACAATACACAAGTTGTATACAAGCCCACAATTCACAAGTTGTAAAAATGCCCACAATACACACATTGTATACAAGCCCACAATACACACATTGTATACAAGCCCACAATACACACATTGTATACAAGCCAACAATACACACATGTATACAAGCCCACAATACACACATTGTACACAAGCCCACAATACACACATTGTATACAAGCCTACAATACACACATTGCATACAAGCCCACAATACACACATTGTATACAAGCCCACAATACACACGTTGTATACAAGCCCACAATACACACATTGTATACAAGACCACAATACACACATTTTATACAAGCCCACAATACACACGTTGTATACAAGCCCACAATACACACGTTGTATACAAGCCCACAATACACACGTTGTATACAAGCCCACAATACACACATTGTATACAAGCCCACAATACACACATTGTATACAAGCCCACAATACACACATTGTATACAAGCCCACAATACACATGTTGTATACAAGCCCACAATACAAACATTGTATACAAGCCCACAATACACACGTTGTATACAAGCCCACAATACACACATTGAATACAAGCCCACAATACACACATTGTATACAAGCCCACAATACACACATTGTATACAAGTCCACAATTCACAAGTTGTATACACACCCACAATACACAAGTTGTATACATGCCCAATATGCACACATTGTAAACACCCCCACAATACACAAGTTGTATACATGCCCAATATACACACATTGTGTACACCCCCACAATAAACAAGTTGTATACATTGCCACAATGCACAAACTGTATACACGCCAACAATACACACATTGTGTACAAGCCCACAATAAACACGTTTTATACAAGCCCAAAATTCACACATTGTATACAAGCCCACAATTCACAAGTTGTATACATGTCGACAATACACACATTGTATACAAGCCCACAATTCACTCATTGTGTACATGCCCACAATACACACGTTGTGTACAAGCCCACAATACACACATTATGTACAAGCCCACAATAAACACGTTTTATACAAGCCCAAAATTCACACATTGTATACAAGCCCACAATTCACAAGTTGTATACATGTCGACAATACACACATTGTATACAAGCCCACAATTCACTCATTGTGTACATGCCCACAATACACACGTTGTGTACAAGCCCACAATACACACATTATGTACACGCCCACAATACACACATTGTGTACGCACCCACAGTACACACATTGAATACAAGCCCACAATTCACACATTGTGTACAAGCCCACAATTCACATGTTGTATACAAGCCCACAATACACACATTGTGTACAAGCCAACGATACACAGATTGTGTACAAGCCCACAATACACATGTTGCACACAAGCCCACAATACACACATTGTGTACATACAAGCGCACAATACACACATTGAATACAAGCGCACAATACACACATTGAATACAAGCCCACAATACACATGTTGCATACAAGCCCACAATACACACATGGTATACAAGCCCACAATACACACATTGTGTACATACAAGCCCACAATACACACATTGTATACAAGCCCACAATACACACATTGAATACAAGCCCACAATACACACATTATGTACACGCCCACAATACACACATTGAATACAAGCCCACAATACACACATTGAATACAAGCCCACAATACACACATTGAATACAAGCCCACAATACACATGTTGCATACAAGCCCACAATACACACATGGTATACAAGCCCACAATACACACATTGTGTACATACAAGCGCACAATACACACATTGTATACAAGCCCACAATACACACATTGTGTACAAGCCCACAATACACATGTTGCATACAAGCCCACAATACACACGTTGTATACAAGCCCACAATACACACGTTGTATACAAGCCCACAATACACACGTTGTATACAAGCCCACAATTCACAAGTTGTATACAAGCCCACAATACACACATAGTATACAAGCTCACAATACACATATTGTATACAAGCCCACAATACACACATTGTGTACAAGCCCAAAATACACATGTATACAGGCCCACAATGCACATGTAGACAAGTCCTAAGTGCTCATATTGTTGTATACAAATCTCTTGAGCTGTATCCACTCTGGTGTTGCATTGTGCCTCATTATGTCCTGTCCCAGCTGGATTGACCTCGACTTTGTCTGGACATCACACCATGTCTTACCAGAGTTGTGTGGACAGCCTTGTGTGTACAGTACATAACATACAGGTCAGTTGTGTCAGTGATATATAACAATTGTTATCAGAGATGTGATGCTAAACTGACTTCAAACTGATCATTTGTTTTCATATTATGACTTCCTTTCACCTTGGAGAAAGTTCCATTCCTTCTTTATGGAATACATAATGAACAAAAGGAACAGTTTCACTATTTGACCTTGTTATACCTTGTTCTTGATCATAGACCTTGCATTCATGTCTTGGAGCACATTAAATGTCTCTTCCCAATTTAAGATCTTGAAGAGTTGTTGTTTTTCTCTTCACTGAAGTTGCAGACGATTGAACTGAAATATTATTTACCACAAAAGACCAAGCGTCTATATATAAAGTTTATTATTGCTGGGAGTAAAACTTTCACCCTAATGAAACGGATGTCTGGCATAACAAGAGTGAGAGAGTTAAGATGATGTGGCATCGGCAATGTTTAAGTCATATAATCTTAGTACATATTATTCTCCTGCCTATTGTCGAACTTGGATGTGTTGAATTACCGGTTGTTTCCAACTCATTTAGGAGTCCCAAGTATCCAAATTAAGCTTAACATTTTCCTGATGTCTGGAACTCCGGATAAGTCGACCTTTTGTCCAGGTCCCCACAAGTGCAACGTGGTTCGACCTGACTGTATGTGAAAATAACCTACCTTTGTCCCTTTTTTATATTGATAAAATGGCCGCAAGGGCCTTCATACAGAAATACAGATTTTTAATTGATTGACATATTTGGAAATGAAGGTTAGTACCTGATGCAAAAGTGAAATGGTACAGTATAAACATGACGAGTGACAGCTAAACAATGCAGATGGTGGAGTGCTGGTGTAAGCATGTTTTTCTTCCGCCCAAATTTAGGTCCGAGCAGAGAGAAAAATCAGAATAAAATACATAAAACTGCAGTGGAAATGTTCCAACCCTGTATTGAAAAGTTTCGGTTGACAGGAACAAAGACCATATCTGACAGGAAAGAATGTTTGGATTATGAGCAATGTTCTGGATCCTGTATACTGTTAATGTGCAACATGAAAAACAGGGCAACTAAGACACACAATCGCAATACAAATAAACCTAATCTAAAATAAAAACAAAATATTATGATGAAAAACGAAAGCATAAAACAAATTCTGGTAGTTAATGAAGGACATGTGAAAACATGTCATTATGACAGAAACTGATAGAATGCAAAGCCCAAAATGCAACCGAATTCCGAAGTACTTCTGCAAGAGAATACCAAGAAATTACCCTTTATGTCATGTCATGTTATGTTATGCCTTAATGTATTTGGGTTTTTTTCTCCAAAAATGTTAACGAAACTGTCAAATAGGATTGTTCACACATAAAGCATTTGTTCCGACCGTTCCATGCTTTAACTCGATGTATTCTTTCTCTCCCCACCGAAGAAAAAACCCAACACAAAACAACTAAATAACCAAGCTCCATTATAGTCCCCATCACAAAATGAGTGTGAAAGTTCCTTTTTGATGGAACACATTCCATTGTGATAGGAACCAACATTTGACGGGATATGCACCTCCAAGGGAACAGATGTTGGTAGTAAAAGTTCCGCCAGAACCTTTATCGTATGGAACCAAATCTTGTTTACACCTGGACCCAGCGCGGACACCTCGAGGCAACAATGGAGACAACCTTAACCTCTTATGAGCAATGTTACCCGCTTCCGAAGTTCAACAGCTGCACCACCCAGCCAAGGACCCCTTCAATTACAAACATGTCAATAACCCACACATTGCCATTTAGAAAGTGGTCAAATGTAACAAATGTTATATTTTGGATAACACTTTCTTAATGAAGTACCGATTCTCGTACTTTTGGGGGTTGAGTCCCGTCCGGGATTCAAACCCACACTGCCAGAATGAGGCACCTAATCGCCTGCACACAAAATATGATTTGTGTGGGTTCGAATCCCGGACGGGACTCAACCCCCAAAAGTACGAGAATCTGTACTTTACTGAGAAAATATTATTCAGAATATAACATTTGTAACATATCAATAACCCTAAATCAAAACATTTTGGATAAAAAATATACATCATGATCCAGAATATGTTAAAGAGATCAAACGAGTTATTCACGAGACGGTTGAACAATACCACACTTTGGATGTAAATGGACAAACAGTTGACAAGCGACGAACAGCTGTTCTTTGAAGTAGAATTATGCAACAAACCATGATGTGCTGTAGAGTACTCACCGTTAAAGAAACGAAACAGAAACACATCGTACAAAATAGCATCGGCAACAATAGCTGCTGCAGTGGTATAGGTAACGATGGTTTTGGACCACTTCCACTGGAGCCAGATTTATATACCTATACCACCACTACAGGGGGAATTTTTTATGTCAAAACGCTGATGCGATTCAACGATCGTCATAACATTAAACTAAATTTTAATGAAAATATTCTCTATTATTTTTATTCATACGTATACCATTATTTTGAACAAAGTGATATTCAACATTTTTACTAAGTTCTTCGGTTATTTTACTAGAAGACCAGACTATATACTCTTCTTGGTAATTGGAAAGAAACAATTGATGACCGTATTTGGTTGGTTTATATCACTGATATAATATATACCTTGTGGTAATTTTGTCCCTGAGCATAAATGCTTCGATAGCTTTTTCGAGTTCTTCCTTTGTTGGTTTGTAATTTTCCATTATTATATACTTATGTAAGCATTCGTTTAAATGTGATCTAATGATAGTAAGCAATCTATTTTTAATCTCCAACAAGTTCTTTGGTTTTGGCACGGAATAATTGACGAGCTTGTTGTCTCCCCTGTTCTATGAACTTTTTTTTCTCGTCTTCGCTAATACCACTAGTCTTAAAAGAATTTGATCGAATCTCCTGCTTCATTACGTTGTATTTGGTGAGTTCTGACAAAACTAAACGAAAGTCCTCCTCGGATAACTTACAATCAGCCATTGCTGTTGAAATATGATCCTCAATGCTGTTCAACTTTGCTTCGGCGAGTATCCGAAAATTATCATGTTTTAATGCTTTCTTTTGCAACTTACGAGAAATAAATTTTATCGCTATTCCTGCCAGTCCTGAGACTCCAGCCACCATTTCCATGCCAAGTACAATAGGCGCGGCGATTATAGCTGATTTTAAACCAACACCGGCTACACCGAGGCCCATGCCAGCTGCTACAAGCGCAGTGTCAACTCCGTCGAGAGCATTCACAGCTCTGCGATACTTTTTATACAATCCAAGTCTCATCTCCCTCTCCTCTATTCGTTGTTTTATGTCGCTTATTTGATGTAATCGAAATCCATCAACAGTATCCAATTTCTTTTCAGATGCTTCATCGAGCGCCGGATATAAACTTATAGTGTATATTATTATATCATATAATAGTCTTTAATTGGTCTTGCTTCAATGTTTTGAAAGTATACATCAACCTTATTAAATGTATATTATACGACATGAATATCTTAGTAAGAGAAATCCTGTCACCTTTAATAATTTGGTCCCCCTCAAAGGTTGCAACAGGGGATGCTCCCATATAAATAATACTGCAACGTTGACGTTGGTGTTTCTTAAGCCATTTAATCAATAGACCTGGTAATATTTCGAAGGCATCTACCGGTGCATCTCCAAACAAGGCTTCAATAATAAGTGTAGAAAGATCAGGTATTGCATTCAAGTTATCTTTAATATCATTGAATTCAGTAACCAAATTTAAACTAACATTTTTTTATGCCGGACGACTATATAACATATGACCTGTGTTTTCTGGCAGGGGAGAGACTAACACACTTTTTCGTTTTGATGGGATATAAGCCCTGAGTACGATCCCACTATTTATTATCTAAGTTAAATTATGTGCCTTACCCGTCATCACATATGGTGGGGTAATGACGATATTTAGTAGCCACTCGATTTTTGCTTCGATCATAGTCCATTTATTATCATCGTTGTGAGTAAGATTGTATGAAGTGTTTTTATTGAGTCTACTTACATCGACATCGCTTAAATCTCCTAGATTAACTGGGAATGCAACTTCTTTCCGCTTGTATACATTATCTTGTTAGTGTAAAGCGTATAACTTGCCATCGATACCGGGTTTACCGAATCCTTCTGTGTCTCCGAGATCGGAAAGCGCAATTGTATTACATTGTCTAAGGTTATGCGTTCCAGGGCCTAATGAATCAACCATTATTTATAATATGGAATGTTACACTCAAGTATCCTATATGTACAGGTTGATGTTTTAAATCTAATACAGAAATTTTGAGATCTGAAATAATACCACGCTTTAATTTTTTATATTGTAATGTTGAGAAAGATTCCGTTCTACCGCTATACCTCTACTTTCTAGTTGAACATTATCCGTTGTACTGGTTTGATCAAGATGGATGCACAACTCTTTATAGGGAACTAAATCGGGCAATTTAGTTCCATTCCATGTTTTGTTGGGATATATTATTGTCATTATTCATCTGGAGGAGTTTACAAGTCCAAGTGTATCTGCTACGTTCGGGGCTAGCATTAAACTCTTTTCTCCAGAGTTTAAAATCAGTATCCCATTAGACTCATTTTGTGTGAGACTAGCTCCCAAAGGCTTAAAAAATTCATCATTGAGTGAGCATACACTGTTGTTGGGTTCTCAGGGAGGAACGACAAACGCGGGAGCAGGGAGACGAGCCTGCCACTTGACCGGCTGTTTATTCAGACTGTCGCATGTTACATAAGAGCACGTGATTGCGCTTACCTGCAACTAATCATATTACAAGAGTGGACATCTGTTGGCCTGTCATAATATTATACACTAGCTAGTTTAAAACTACTGCGTTTCAATTACAGATATTACATCCGCCCCTCCTAAATTTAAGTTACTTTGAAACAAAAATAATAACCTTTGATAAACAACATAGTCCACAGGACTTCATAAAGTATAAGTAACTTAACAATGTACACTGACCCTTGTAAAGTACTAATAACCCTGATAACTTGACAAGTTACAGTCATAATGAAAACATTGTTAAAGTAGAAAGTGAAATTCAACTAAACTGAGCTTTTTCCCCCGACACATAATAATACTGAAAACCTGCTGAAGTATTATAGTCCTGATACAAGTAATTGTAATTCACAGCTAATCAAATGCCACCTTGACACATAGTTCACTGCAAATGACAGTCACAGTACACTCAAATGTCACTTTGACACAAAGTCCCTCAGATAAGACGGTTGCTGCTTCACTCTGGTTGAACGACGA